CACCCCGCTGCCCGCCCCTCCCTGTCTCCCTGGTCCCGCAAGCCGGCTGCGAGCTACCTGGGGGCAGGGCCCCCCACAACCCCACCCGCACTGGTAGTCCCGCTCCTCTGGCGGGAGCCTACTGACCAAGGATGGAAAGGATGCTGGGAGCAGCCCGGACCACCGCTCGCATTTCCACCCCAGAAACCCAGGAGCAAGGCCTGCATTTACGCTGCTGCCTGCAATGGAGGTGCTAGAGCCCGGCTGTGGCAGAGGGCAGGGCAGGCTCGGAGGAGTGCCGTCAGCCTGCGGGGCCTCTGCCCCAGGACGAAAGGGAGATAACAGCACTCAGATGGGAAGGCTGGGGGGCGGGGGGAGATGAAATGTCTCCTAGTACAGCTTTCCACACTTGGCTCTGGTTTATGTGGTTACTGAACTGCACAACAAAAGCCAAGAAACTTCCGGTTTGAAGGTGGGAGGAACTGAGGTCTGGAAGGTCCAAGTGCACCCCATCCGGACAAAAGGGCGCTTCGGCCGCTGAAATAAGACTCCAAGTTGCAATTCCACCGAGGAGGGAGGTCAAGTACATGAAGCCACTGTCCTGGGAAAACTTGGGATTCAAAGTAAAAAACTCAAGGCATTGCACACGAATGGGTTCTCAATCCTCACTGAGAACCACTGCCCATGAAAGCAGGTGTGGCTTCTGCCCAGCCACTCCCTTATTGTTGCTTAGGTGTTGTCACCAGCAGCCCCCAAGCCGGCAGGGTTTTCTCCCCCAAGGTGAAGTAGCAGGGATGCGGCCAGAAACGAGTTAAAATCCAATCCCCTCCCTGGCCCACCCCCCCTCCCCACACACACACAAAAACAAACTACAAGCAAGTACATTTCTTTATTTAAAGTATCTTTCTTATGGGAAAAAAAAATGTTCCCTTAAAGCACATTTAAAGGTGCTCCTCACCTCTTGTAAAATAATTCCATTTTAGCGTAGCAAAACTAAAAGGCTGTTTCTCTTTACACATTATTCTGCTCTCGAAAACCAGTCCAGAGCTGCTGTAAACGGACTTTCATCCCATCACGCCCAACTTGGCTCTTGGTCACACAACTACAGGTATGAATTTAAAAGCTGAGGAATGTTAAGTCCTGAGTTCACGTACAGCTCAGTGAGGCAAGGTCGGCTGACACAGGGAGCTGTCGCCTGCTCCAACGCTGATGACCTGGTACCAAAGATCCAGTGCCAAGGACTCCAGTTTTTTTCTCTTGAAGACTTACCTAAACATTCACTACTTTGGTTCCCGATTTCTACAATAAATCAACGATAAAGGCTGGCCCAGAGGCAGTGCAATCTAGCAGCAGCTCTCAGCACTACTGACAGCTGACAGCCTTCATGTCCTCTCACCAGGAGACCTCATATTCTGAACACATATTCCCTCGAAATAAACACTAATAATTTGTTCTGAAACCTAAGGACACAAAACACAAAAGAGAATCAGTTTTTCCTTCCCTTCTGGTGGTCCAATATATTCCTTCCATATGAACCCTGACTCTCCAGATGGGCAGGAATTCCATGTGCAAATCTCCAGCACAAAACTACTCAGAACATGTGACTTGTACTTGAAAAGCTCTTCACAATATGATGTCCAAGGTGCACAGAAGGCCCCAGTGATCGCTGGGAAACCGGCCACAGTCCAGTTTCTCCAGCCCAAGGAGATCCAGACTCTGGGGAATGATGTGGCTGCCTCCCGCCGCCGCTCGGAAAAATATTCGATCAAAGCGATGCTTACAGGTGGCACGGATGCCAAGGTTAGAGTTCATCTGTGTATCCCACGTGTACTGGCAGTGCTTAGGTTTGCCCAAAAACTCCCAGACATCCGAGATGTTGCCGGGTAAACCACCGCATTTGGTAACCTGAAAAGACAGAAAACTCTGTAAAATTCCAGTGTTTTCCCCCTAAATTAAAAAGGTGCCTTTGGAAATATTAAAAATCTGCAAATAACAGGATTACTTCTATTATAGTCTAAAATATGTTTTTCTCTGGCTCTATTTTTGTTCATCAGTTTGTTGTTTATTATATATATAAATGTAGAAGATGCCATTTATATGATCCAATGATGTCAATTGCCTTCAGTTTTATTTGAAATTTACTAACAATATTAATTCTTCCTTTTTTTCATTCACACTCCAGTTTTTTTAAATTATTATAAATTATACATAAAATTTACTATTTAAAAATATACATTTATCAACGGCATTAAGTATACGCACGTAATTGTGCAGCCAGGCCTTTCTGGCTCATTTTTAATCAGGCTGTCTTTTTTGAAGAGTTCCTAACATTTTAATGCAGATCAGCATGGCCGGTTCATTCCAGCTTCAGAGCCAAACCTGGGACCGGCACTGCTTCAGCTTCTCCTTCTGCCGTGGCCGAGATAAAAGGTACCGGCTGCTTCGACTTTGGACTTCACACTATGCTTGTTTTTCTTGATCCTGACATATGTGGCACCCTTTGGCCTGGCTGTGGGCAGCAAGTCCTTGATTTCCTCAATTTTGTGAGGCACGCAGCCAGCACAGTAAGTGACAAGAAGCGAAGAGGATGAAAAAATAATAATCAGGTTCTTACTGTTGGCTTTTCCTTGTAAGAGTTCTTTATATATTCTGAATACGAACTGCGTGTCGGATATATGATTTGCAAGTATTTCCCCTCATTCCATAGGTTGCCTTTTCACTCCACTGATGCATACAGTTTCTTTTCATGACATCCGCCTTATCCGTTTGTTCTGTCACCTGTGCTGTTGGTGTCATTCCCAAGAAGTCACTGCCAATCCAGTGTCGTGAAGCTTCCCTATGTTCTGGCTCTGACTTCAGGTCTTTGGTCCACGCTGAAGAACTCTGATATGGGATGTAAAGACCCAACTTCATATTCTTGCACGTGGTATCGGTTTCAAACACTATTTGTTGAAAAGCGCGGTTTAAAAGTCACTCAACCAGACACTCAGAAACCACGGCCATAAACAAGTCAATCTGCGAGCAGCCGACAGAAAGCCCTGTTCTTAACGGCTGTGCCCATGCCGACACCGCGTCCAGGAGGCCGAGCCGCCTCCTTCCTGGGAAACTGCCTCCCTGGGGCAGGGACCTGAGCAGAAGCTCCATCTCCATCCGCTCAGTCTGACGGGAGCTGGGCCACAGGAGGAGGCAGGTTCTGGGTCTATAAAGCCCTGGAAACCTCACTACGTCCCAACGGAACGAAGGAAAGAGAGACATCGTTCAGACCTGGACACGTGGTGCCAGGAGAGGGGACAACCATGACGCTCCACTCTGTTCTCCTCACCTTGCGACTAGACCCAC